GCGGGGCGCCGGCCCGCGGGGGGGTGGGGGGATCCCGTGGCGGGACCTGGGGGGAGGAAGTCCCGTTTCGTGAGTGTTTCTTCGCTTCTTTAAGAGCCACCAGAAAGCAGCCCACCCCCACTCCCATAAAAAAATAAGCGAGTGGGGACGAGCCAGCCCCACGCCGGTCCGCCTCCCGCCCGCCGCTCGGCCTCCCGCCCGCGCGCCGCCAGGCTCTGCGCTCCTTCTCCCCGAGTTCTCCATCCCCTGGATCCCGGGCTCGCGGGGGCGAGGAGAAGAGGACCGAGGCAAGGTTTGGGAACGTGGGGGGCTGGGGGCTTTTGGGGGGAGGGGCTGCGCTCCCGCCACCCCGATGCTCCTCAGAGGGCCCGGATCGTCCAGCCTCTCGTTTGCACCCTCGCTCCCCTTCTCTACCTCGGACATTCCCAGGACAATTAGGGCTGAAGTTTTCGGGAGATGCAGCCCAGAGCCCGTGGGATAAGGGGCGGCCCGGCTCCGCCCAGGACCCCTCCCGGACCTCCCCCCCCAGCCGCCCGGGTTGGCTGCAGGGCGCGTCACTCCGCAGGGAGGCGGCGGCGGCGGTGGCGCCGCGGAGCCCGGGGCGGGCGGAGAGCGGGGACCGGCCTAGGCTCCGAGTTCAGCTCCCGCCGTGGGGGAGGGGAGGGGCCGCCGCTCGCCCTGCACGCGGCCACCCGCCCCTGGCCTCGGGCGAGGCCGGTGCCCGGGACCCCTGAGCTCCCCACGCTGGGGGAGAGGGTCGCGCCCCGGCGCCCGCTGAGACGTGGCCGCGCGGGGCCGGGCGTGGGCCACAGGGTACCTGTCCGCAGGGTCTGCTCCGCGGAAGCTCACCTCGGCGCTCGCCCAGTGCGGCACCCAAACTTTTCGCTCTCTCTCTACCTCCGGGGGCTGGGATGCAGCCCCTCTCCCCGCGCCCCAGAGCCGGGGCCCCGCACTCCCTCCGAGGGGCTCGGCGCCCGCGAACCTGAGGCTCAGTCCTGGGCTCAGCCTGGCTCTTCCCCTCGTGCCTCGGGGTCTCCTCGCTCCAAGGTTCCCGAAGTCTCGCGCCCGAAGGACAAACTAAACTTCGGCTGAGTAATCGGGGAGGAAGGGGGGGCACAGATACTCAATCCCTGCCCTATCTCGCGATCGGGAAAGGAGAGGGCTCATAAGGACGCCCCAATTCGGAAGCTCCTTTGAGTCTGGGGAGCCCCGCAGCCGGTTCGCGGGAAGTGGGCGCCAGCTTTGCGTGGAGAGCTTCGTGTGCTGCGGCTCCTTAAGGCGCTCCCCCAAACGACTCTTTTTCGCTCAGTTCTCCTCCTCCTTCTTCTTCTTTTTGGTCTCTTCTCTATTGAAAATAATCTAAATCTTTTGTGTGCGGGTGAATGTTTATGTTTTCTTCCTGCCGACCTTTTAGTTTTTCTCGGTAAACTTCTTTTTGCTAGTTCACCCTTTCTTCACCTTGCTTCTTCCGCCTCCTATTTTTCCTCTTTCTCCCCTCGCGCGGCCGCACACACACGCACACCCGTGCGCACACGCCCTCCGCCTCGCTCTCCCCTTCTCCCCAGGTCCTGTTGGTTACAGTAGATTTTGATAAAAAGACAAACGAAGCTATCAGTGAGGCTGATGTTGAAGAATGAAGATAATAATGTTTCCTTAGGTGGTGCTTCAAATGCCATTATTTCTCACTGAATATTTAAAGAGATCCCTCGGCAAAGATAGATCTGCCTGCTCCTGGGGTGCGAGCCGCCCGCTTCCCCCAGACCCCCGGCAAAGTGCACAGGAGCCAGAGTAAATGCCATGCCCACCCCGCACCCCTCAAGCCGTCGTCCTCAAACCCAGGAACTCACTCTCCCCCAGGAACGCGAACGCGTCCGAGGGCACTTGCACACTCGTTTCTACGAATACGCCCGCGTTGGGAGCCGCCCGCACCCGTCCCTAACACGCTCGGCTTCTCGAAAGTCCGGGCCTCGGGGTCACCGCATGCTGCCAGGAACCCGGCAAGCTGGCGATCCCGCAAAACCTCCTTCCCGGTGGCGCCGCGTGCGCCGCGGAGAGCTCCCGCGAGTAGCCTCACACGTGTTCGTGACTCGCTCTACGTGTGATTAAGATTAAGGACGGGAGAAAAAGAGCTTCTCCCGACCCCCCCTCCCGCCCCCGCATACCAAAACAAACAACCAAACGAAATGCAAGCGCGAAGAAGGCTTCACGACATTTAATTAAAAATGGGCGAGGAGAGACGAATTAATTGGGGGGATCCAAACTTTAATAACTTTTTTCGTTCTTTTGCGACCTCGACGGCGTAGAGGGGGCGTCTCGTTCTGTGCGCCTTGTCCCCCGCTAATTTCTTGTTTGTTTTCTCTCCCTCTGGCCGGGAGAGAGGAGAGGGGAGGTGGAGGAGGGGGGATGGGAGGAGGGGGATGGTCAGAATGGCGGGGAGAGGAGAATTGGTCTTTATTGTTGATGGTAATACATCAATTACGAGCCATTGTCTCGGGCCCAAGTTCCGCGGTTCGCTGCCGCGGGCGCCGCAGTGCTAGGGTATGGGTGAGGTTTCGCGTGCCGCTAGGCAAAGAAATAATTAAATTAATAAAAACTGTGCCAGGCTGGGGGTTCGTTTTCACTTTCCAGCGAGTGGGAAGCAGACGGCCAGGGCGAGTGAGGTGTCACGGCGGGAGCCCACCCCACGCTCACCGGGGAGCTCCGCGCGCTCTAGCGGGGGTCGCGCGGTCCACGGTCTTGGGTGGTGCAGCAGCCGGGGGCGTCGGGGTGTCGGACTTGCGGTTTGCACAAGAGGACCTGGCCCTGAGGACTGATCCACGCTGGGGAATAGGGTGGCCTGCAGTGAGACAGCTGCTGCGCCAGGTCGTGACCTTGTGGGTACACAGAGCAGCACCGGGGGAGGTGCAGAGCGAGTTGTGCAAACTCCCATTTGGGGAGTTCGATGCCTGTGTTCCTACCAGTGTGTCTTCCTCAGTTTTCCCGACAGAGCGTCCTGGCGGGCTGGCGCGGCCTAAGGGCCGTGCCCCCAGACCTAGGGCCACAACTGTATACCCCGAGAAGGGGGTTCCTCGTGTCTCTGCTTGATGCCAGATCCTGGGAAAGGGAGGGTGTTGAGCCACCCAGTCC